GGGATCGAGCCCCGCATTCGGGCTCTCTGCTCAGCGGGGAGCCTGCTTCTCCCTCTCCCTCTCTGCCTGCCCCTCTGCCTACTTGTGATCTCTGTCTGTCAAATAAATAAATAAAATCTTAAAAAAAAAAAAAGCTTTAGGTCTCCCCACATAATTCCAATATACAACCAACACTGAAAACGAGTACTTTAGTCCAATGGCTCTCAAACTTGAGCAGATGTCAGAACCTTCTGGTGAGCTTCTACAAACCCATCCCTTGACCACCTCAGGTTTCTCAGTAGATCTCGCTGGAGACTGAGGATCGGTAATTCTAGCCGATTCCCAGGTGATACTGATACTGTTGATATCCCAAGATCACACTTGAAGAACTGTTGCCTTAGTCATTTCTCCTTTTCCACCTAGGCCATTTCACTTTGTCATCACGGTCCAGGTGAAATCTCCTTGTGTATGAAAATGTGACAAATGATTCTTGTCACACTGATTTCTGTTATACCTTCTATTTAGTAATTAATTACCTAATGCCTATGGCCTCTCCTGACCTGCCTTTATTTATTCACATTTTTTATGTCCACGTGTTTGTTTTATCACTCCCACTCTACCATGCGTCCTGTGTACTGGAGGGAGAGATGCACGTTTTCTTGTGCTTCTTCCCACTCACTCTGCTCCTGGCTTGGTGCCATTGACATGGCAGAGATGGATGGATGGATGGACGGTGGCAGTAGACTAATTGTTGATTAATTTCCTGACAGTTTATTTTTTTTCTGTTTCATATTTATTAGATCTGAAATCCCTCTGGAAATCATTGAATCTCTATTCCTCCTGAGGCTCACCATTTACTTATTTGTAATATAAGGAGGCTGAGCTAATTCCTCTGGTTACAGAAAAATAACATCTTGTGGGGAAGAGAGCATGGGATTTGGAGGCAGACCTGCATAAAGCCTGCCCATTTCTACAGAATGGGTCATCAGAAACAAGTTAACCTGAACAATTTGAGATTTGCCACCCTTATTTAATATGCCAAAGAGTAAAAGTTATCAAGGAAAAGTTGTATGGAAAGCACCTGGTAAAGGTCTTGACATTTGCTTGGCACTCATAATTGTTTCCATCAAAATGCATTTTGTTGTTGGCTTACTTCAAATCATCTGGTGGACTTTTAGGAAGTACCTTTTAAACTTCAATTATATGACAGTTTAACTCCTTAGTTTCCTACTAGGGATCGGAGCTGGTGTGTTACTGTTCTTTTTGAAGCCTTAGCTCTACCTGTTAGCTTCCCACCCAGCTACCTTCCAGCCCTAGCCCCTGCTACCCTAGTGTATCATTTAATCACCTCTGACCTGCAGTGTGGCCCACTGACATCCCTACCTTGGGCATGACCCTTTGCTGGTTTAAGTCTCATGTTCCTGATCTGTGAAATGAATGTGCTTGGTGTGGCCATGCTATAGGGGAAGCATTGGCTCTGGACTGGGAGGACCCAACTCTGAACCTGAGTTCTGCCATGAACAAGGTGTGGAACACTTAAGCTCTTTGGATCTCAGTTTTTAGCTATAAAAATGGTACTTGGACTAGAAAATCATTACTAACTGTCTGTAAGTCTTAAAATCTGGGCCATACACCGAGCTGAGAACAAACTGATACCTCATTTCAGAATCTGTGAAGAAGACTATGATTCTATCCTACAGATAAGGAAATTGGGCCCAGAGAGTTTAAGTAACTAAATGAGGTCACGTAGCTACTGAGTGGCTAGGATTTGTACTTGGGAACTTTAAACTCTTGCCTTCCTCATTATCAGCTATTGAATTGTCTCCTGGAATTATGAGAGTGCTCCCAGATTCAAAATATTTATGGTCATATGAGATTTGTTTCCTCCAACAACCAATACATGATAGACAAGATGTGTATCATTGATCACTAGTATAGAGATCAAGACTATGAGGTTTCAGTGGGAGAATGGAGGCTAAAAATGCCATGAACTCTATAGTAAAGAACAGATGGTGTTATTTTCTTGGAGTTTATAATCAAGAGATTGCCCAAGACTGACAAATGTAATCAATATCATGGGTGTCTTTAACAAGATTCTTTAACAAAGTATTTTATGAAGTTTTTTGTTTTGTTTTGTTTTGTTTTTGTTTTTTGGTTTTTTTGCATCTATCTATGTGAAATAGAACATATTTCAGCTGTTAAATTTCGGAAGCTCACGTAGACTACTCCATTTTAATCTCTTGGAGAATTATGCATTTTTCAAGATGTGTTTGTAATTTCAGAGATCATAAGGGACTCTCAGTTGGCTACATTCTGTGTTCTAATAGCGTGCCCGAAACAACAAGCTCAGTGCCAAGGAAGGACGTTGGTGGTGGGATGATCAGAAGCATTAAGCATGTGGCTAATGAATGTGCTACCTTTGTGATCTCTGTACATTTTTTTTTTCAACTGTAGAATAAAGAACTAAAAACCAAAGTGGCACTTTGGTCTGAAACGCCTAGGACAACTGTATCTAAGTCTGTCTCTACAAGGTAAGGTTTTCCTTCCCCCATTGCCATCTGCCTTCACAGCTTCTGTTGGACATACATTCAAGAATGTTGACGTTTATCCCATTGGAGAAATATTCCAATCTATTAATACTTATGTAGTCGTTGGTTTACTGTGTTTCCCAGTTCTTGAGAAGAAGACCTGTGTTACTTGTTCATCATTGAACCCTCAAAGCCTAATATAGAAATACTTACTGAAAAAATGAGTGAATAAATTTAGATACCTTTTCTTTTTTTTTTAAAGATTTTATTTATTTATTTGACAGAGAGATCACAAGTAGGCAGAGAGGCAGGCAGAGAGAGAGGCTCCCCACTGAGCAAAGAGCCTGATGTGGGGCTCGATCCCAGGATGCTGAGATCATAACCTGAGCCGAAGGCAGAGGCTTAACCCACTGAGCCACCCAGGCGCCCCTAGATATCTTTTCTTGCTTTGTGCCATTTAACAAGCCTAGTCTTGGCTCCAAAGCTTTCTCTAAGCAGCGCACATCATTTCTTTTCTATTGTCCTTGTTTCTCCATTAACTCCTGTGCTCTGTAGCATCAATGCCCACGTCTGTATCTCAAACCAGGTAGATTATCAATGCTAAGAAGGCAGGAATAGTTCCTTTATTTCCTGCATTGCTAAGGGCAAATGTCTCAGTAACTACTTAATAATGACTGAATCAAGCAATGATAATGGCCCAGGACAGCAATCAAAATGATGGTTGAAACCATGAAACTCACTTTCTAGTGGTAAAATAACAAGTTAAAAAAAAAGAAAAAAGATGTCTGGGCTCCAATGTTATTTCCATAATATTCTATGAAATTATCACTTAAAAGAAAACATGGTCTGTAATTACATGAATCATTTAAAAAGTGATTAAAAACTTCCTGTTCTAGCAGCTTTTGAATTCCCAGTCTAATCCCTCTAGGGCAAAAGCCTGTTTTCTGGAACTTTCCTGGTTGCAGTGCCTGAGGTAGAAAATCAGGCCTGCTGTGTTTAGCATCCGTCCAGGAAACCAGGTAGATCCATCTCCCTCTTCAGAATTCCCCGCAGGCCTGCTTCACTTTGCTAATGATATATGTAATTAGAGATGAGATGAAGCCATTCTGAATCGAGTCTTCTAGAATTGGGCTCCCAGATGTTAAGTTATCAACTGTTTGGCCACTGGCCCTGCAACTTCCAATAAAGAAAAGAAATTAAGCCCCAGGAAGATTAAAGGAGGAAGTGAAATACCCACGATTCAGAAACAGTGAGAGAAGTAGTCACTTCAGTGCGGGAAGAAATGGAGAGTCCAGAATAGAAGAGTAAGCATGACTTTCCAAGGGAAAGGAAGGTGATTGCTTTTTTTGTTCCCTTACCAGATACCAGTCCCCTTGGGAGTGGTGAGGCATGGTGGCCATTCTCAGCTGTTCTGACCCTGTAGGGAATGCACCCAGAGTGCAGTAGAGGAGGGAGAAGCTGGTTGTTTCTATGCTGTAACTACTCCAGTACGGAATGCAGATACTCTAGCTGGTACAGAGGGAAGGTGCTGGAAAGAATGACTTCTACCGCCAATGCTTTAGCTATAGTAAATTAATTGTCAAAGTTCTTTTAGTTTTAGAGATTTCTTTTTTCTTCCTGTGACTTGGTAGATCTCATCTTTATAAGATGAAATATATCCAATCAGCTGCTTTGAGAATGTAAGCGGTAGCATGGTTTGGGAAGTCTGGGTTCTCCCGTAGGCAATGGAATTATAACTCAAGGGAGAGACTGGAGTAGAAAAGTAGCTGTTAAGGGGGGAAAATATCATGTACATTTAAAGAGTAATCCAGGCAAATCTCTTTAATCATCCATAAAATGTAGTTCTATATATCTAGTAAGTACTAAAAAACAAGGTGTTTCCCTTGAGCATTAGAACATAGAGATACTTCTCGAACACCAAAAGCAGTGTTTGCTGGAGATTCAGGGTCATGTTCTTAGATAACAACAACAGAACACACATAGAAGCGTGTGTGTGTGTGTGTGTGTGTGTGTGTGTGTGTGAACATATATACATACATATATATTTTAAATACTAGACTCACATAGTTTAAGAGAGAAGCTCAGACTGAGAAGCCCACGGAACTAAAAATGTCCTGGAAGAAGGGTTGATTTACTTATTGTCTCCAATTCACAGCAGTGCCTGTCTTCACTGTGTGGAATGGCAGATACAGGCTCTCGTTCTCTCTCCCCTCCCCTCCCTCTTCCTCACTCTTGTTCTCATACTGGGTAGTAGAGCGGTGGTGGAGATGGTAATGGTGGTGATACAGCACTTACATCACTAAAATTTAAAAGTGCTCAGTTTTGGTAATTGTATGGTCTTTTCTAAAGCGAATTGGAGACTGTCGACACCACGCCCTATGTGATGTTGATTAAGCTCCGGAAATGAGCTGACTGGCTGAAGATCTGAATGAGAAAGATTGCTACGTGAGTCTTATTTATTCCTTGAAACAGAGCGTAAACTTTCATGTTGAAATGGCTCACTTCCAGCATTCAGTGGAATCTACTATACATCAACAGCTTTGCAGGAAGATGACATTCCAGAAAATCAAACAAATGTATATTCAAGGGAAGGAACTCTTTCTTCAAAACTTACTAAATGGGTGAAGACACCAGGGACTTTCGATGGAAGAGGAATTTTGCTTTAAACTTAAAAAAAGATCTGAATCTTTCTTGCAGATTTTTGCTGAAGGGAGTGGTTTAAGGTTGTCAACGATGACTTTCTGATAGTGGTTTTTATGTATAAAAATGGAAGAGTATATGTGTGTCTGAGTAAATGATACATTTTAAAGTTAGCTTTGGATAATAAAATTTCTCAACATGAATTTATAAATTCATCTCCTGACCCAGTGTTCATGGGAGAGTTACTCTCTACTGCATTATGGACAGGAGAAGGAGTAGGTTCTTTTTAGCGAATTCCCCAACCCACATAACCCTCCAAAGCTGAGAATCATGGCATCCCACCACACCTTAGAAAGCCATTGTTCTTCAATTGGGATTGAAAATTGGTTGCTGGAGACAACCCACAAATAAGTACAAAGAAATGGAGCTTGAGACTCTGGCTTCGTGACTAATTTTCTTTTCAAGATTCATTATATTATCTACGCAAATATTTGGAGGAAAGAATAGAAACAATGCTGTCAGCTCATACCTCCATAAAAATGTGTATGTTCTGGGTTTAGAGTAACAGTGGCTCCTGTCTACAGCCAGGAAGATGCTGAATTCATGAATTGGAATTAAATGTCCAGTGCTTTTGTGAAAGTGTATTTACATTTTGATACAGGCATTCATCACAGGTGAAGTTTGTGATTGCTATGAGGAAAACCAGACTCTGATTTGCAGAAATGCAAAAATGCTGACACTCAGAAGAGAGAACCCTTGTACTAAAGGAATAATGGGCAGCCTTAGCCCCCACTGAAGGGTGAATTACTTGTAAGCCTTTTGATCATCCTCTCAGACATATGACTATAAACATTTTCTCAGGAAAGATGCTGGAAACCTTTCAATGTAGAATGTGAAATAGCAGTATTATCTATGAAATATTTAAAAATACATACAAATGAGATAAAGTAATGTATTTATAAATTCATCAAAGTACTGAAATCCTTGAAATGTTGCATCACTATATGTGTGCATTTCATGCTTCACGTTTTTATTGCTTGCTAGTTTTTCGAGTGTAGTTATTGAATAACATTTATGGCACAGTTCTTATACCAGGAACAATTCTAAGTACTTAACCTGTCTTAATTACTTCGATCTTCCCAACAGGCCTCATATAATTACCCCATCTTCCAAGGGTGGATCCTGTGAGGTCCAGGACTTTTCCCTGCTGCTAATGATGGAGCAAGGATTTGGACCTCTGACTTGGCTATCAGTAGTCCTTCTAGCTGCCCACATGGTGGTCCAAGGTATTGCCACACAATGGAAATACCTCTCTTTTTGCTACTTTTAACAAGCACAGCTTCCTTGTTCGCTATATGCATTATCCCATGAATGACAGTCAGAAACAACCTTGACTCATAAAGTAAATATTTTGCTGCATTTAAGTTGGCCTTTCACCTGTTGGATTGCCCTCATGAGAACTTAGTTCAGAAAAATGTCCCTGCTAAAAATCTTCTAATTCTATATTTATCATCATGACCTATGCCACATGGAAGATTTTTTGGTAGTATGTTTTCAGGCACATTTGTAGGTGCATTGGGGTCATGAACTCTGTCAAGTATTTGTGGTATGGTAAGCAAATTCACCTTTCACCTGAAGACCACTTTGGGTTCCTTTTATACTCTAATCACCATGCTGGATGGTAATAAATATGAGAGTTTGGAATGGATCCATATGACTGACCTAACAACTAGAATGATTCTCATTAGAATAATGTATTCTAGAGTCAAAAATGGGAAGACACTGTTGGATTTAATTTAGGTTTAACTCTGCTCACTTTTGAACATGGGAGTACAGTTGGATGTGATAGGACTGGTCATGGGTTCTCCACGTTCACCCTGGAATGGTCTTTGGATTTCCTAAGAATAAGAACAAGCAGTTTCAGAAGCTTAAAAAATGTCTGGACTCTTCAAATACAAAAATATCTTTTTAGTAACATCAGCAGTATCATTTATTTGTCATACGTAGATTATGTCCTGTATCTTTATTGTTTCAGTCTTTATCATTTGGAATGTTTTTTGAATACATATTTCTGAGCAATAAAACAAATGATCACAGTGGGGAATAAAAAACATTAACCTAAAAGTAGTACCACACAAGATATACAGGAAAAGGAACACCAGTTCAGTTGTAGTCTAAATAATTGTACTAATAATTACACTAATCTATTTATTAAATAAGAAGGTCTGGGGTGGACCTGGAAGTGAATACAGGAAGGTGGGAGATAAAAAGAAACTTAGTTCACTTTGATTATATATTGTTACAAATTATCATTAAGAAATGTTTAAGCAACAACAAAAAGAAATGTCTAAACAATTGGTATAATACATATATCTTTTGAATAATTGCTTATGGTATGCCTTACATATGGTAAAGAAATTGATACCATATTTTTTGTTCTTATTTCTTTTTACATTAAAACTATTATGCATAAGTGGATTCAGTCATTTTTATTTGATTGTTCATGACATTATAACCCTTCATAAATGAATTGTTTTTGCCAATGAATAGATGAAATTTAGATAGCTCCCTGAATTTTTCTCTTGATTTTCCCTGGATCCAAATTGATGGAAAAAGTAATCTATTAAGTTTTTATTCTGAATCTGAAAAAATAGCAGCATTTTTATAAAATTACACACACTCCTCAAACATTTTCTTATTTCTTTATTTTGAAAATCTTCACCTCTCCTCTGAGCTGGGAATAATTATAGAATCCTCATCAATATTGAAGTAGGGACCCAGTCCATCAAGAACTGAAAATTCCCAGGGCACCTGGGTGGCTCAGTGGGTTAAAGCCTCTTCCTTCGGCTCGGGTCATGATCTCAGGGTCCTGGGATAGAGCCCCACATGGGGCTCTCTGCTCAGCAGGGAGCCTGCTTCCTCCTCTCTCTCTCTGCCTGCTTCTCTGCCTACTTGTGATCTCTGTCTGTCAAATAAATACATAAAATCTTTAAAAAAAAAAAAGAAGGACTGAAAATTCCTTCAACTAATGTCATCATTATCATTCTCCTCACCACTTCCTCCCTTTTTTACTTCCTCACTTCATTAATTTTTTTAGTGGAAAATACTAAAGATGCAATAAATATTTAAATAACCATATCTAATTGCTTTGTTATTATTAAAATATATACTTATAAGTGATAAAAATTGAGCTAGAATGACAAAAAATTGGGATTTACCCTAGGCATGCAAGGTTGGTTTATCACTTGAAAATCAATCAGTATAATTAACCATATACACATAACAAAGAATAAAAGCTATGTAATTGTATTAATAAGTGAAGGAAAGTATTTGACAAAATTCAGCATTCATTCATAATAAAAACTTAGCAATCTGGGAATAAGAAATTTTACCATTCTGATAAAGAGCATTTACAAAAAAGCCTTTGGTAAATATAACTAATGATGAAAAACTAATGGTAAGACGCTTGCTCTCACCACTTTTCTTAAACATTATATTGTAAGTACTAGCCATTGGAATATGTCAAGAAAAAGAAAAGGGGAGAAAAGCACACAGATTGGAAAGGAAAAGTAAAACTGTCCATTGTTGTTGTTCATATAACTGTTGATGTAGAAAACGTCAATGAATCTGCCAAGCAGCTACTAGAACTAATAAGTAAAATCAACAAGGTCACAGATCACAAAGTTAAAATACAAAACTCAACATATTAACAGTTTGGGATTGGTGAAAACATAGACCGATATATAAGTGAATAGAAAGGAGAATCCATAAATAGACTCATCTATGTGATTGATTTTTGACCAAGGTTACAAGGCCATTGAAAGGAGGCAGGAAATTCTTCTAAATGGTGCTGAAGAAAATAGTACAGGTTTTGATGTGAAATAAAATTAGTATCAATTCTTATCTCACACAATATATAATAATTAACCTAAATGGACAATATGCTTAAATATAAAGCTAAAACTATAAAATTTCCAGGAGAAGATAAGGTAGGCAAGATACTTAAATAGTACACAAAGAGTACACCATAAAAGAAAAAAATTGATCATTGGACTTGATTAAAATTCAAATACTTTGCTCTTTGAAAGACACCACTAAACAAATCTTTAAAAAAACAACCTACAGAATGGGTGAAAATATGCACATGTATAGGATTTGTATTCCAAATATTTAAAGAACTTTTAAAACATAATGAGAAGACAAACCAATAAAAAATATTGGCAAAAATGTTTGGAAAGTCACTTCATAAAACAAGATAGACAAATTACAAAGACACACATAAAAAGATGCTTAATCCATTAGTTATCAGGGGAATACAAATGAAAAGCTCTAAGAAATAAGCACAAAACCACCACTAGAACAGCTAAAATAAAAAGACTGGCCTTATGGAGTATGGGGAGCGACCAAATTGTATGCTAAAGGTGGGAACGCAAAAATGATATAAGTACTTCGGGAAATATGTAATTTCTTTAGAAGTTAAGTATACACCTGCCATATGACTTAGCCACTCCATTCTTCGGGGATTTTTTACCCAAGAGAAATAATAGCTTTTGTCCACATAACAACATGTATCTGAATTTTCATGGCACCTTTTTTTGTAGTACTCAAAAACTAAAAACAAAACATATCCATTAATAGGTGAGCAAGTAAAATGTACATGATGTGTTGGAATATAACTCAATGAAAAGAAACAAAAAGCACAAACAAATATATACAACAGTGGATAAACTTCAAATCTTTAGACTTAGTGGAAGAATCTAGAGAAAAAAGAGAGCGGACATACTGTGTGTTTCCGCAGTGACAGCAAATCAGTATATGCCTGGGGACACAAGTAGAAAGATTGCATGGGAGTACAGAGAAACAGAGTAGACACGTTTGGTGTGTTGATATTGGCAATGTCATGGATGTGTTCCATGACAAAAATCAATACCTTGTACAATTTAAATATTTACTTCAATAAAGTAGTAAAAAAATTAGTAAAAAGTAAGTAATAAAAAATTTAAGTTAATTATATAATTATATAATTATAATTATATAATATATAATTATATAATATATAGTTATAATTATATATTATATAATATATAATATATTATAAAATATAATAATATAATAAATAATATATTTTATATAATATATAACATAATATATATTATATATAATGTATATAATATATTAATATATTAATATAATATATTATTATAAAATGTAATTATATAATAATATATAATTATATAATTAATAACTATGTTATTCTTTAACCACCCCGTCAGGTTCTCACATAAGATTCATTCATTTTTTTTCTTTCAACAGATATTTATTGAGTGCCCTGTATTTGCCAGGCACTGTTCTAGAAGCCAGGGCTACGACAGTAGAGAAAGAAGAGGACATGCATGTGTCAGGGACGAAAGAAAAAGGAAAAATCTCTACCTTCATGTAAATATATTCTAGGGACAAAAAAACATAATAAAGTCAGAGACATCCTATGGACAGTAAAGAAAAATAAAGCAGAACACAGGAGTCGGGAGTTACCAGTGGGGGAGGTCTTGTGGTTGCAATTTTAAACTGGGTGATAATTTTAAATGTAACTATGGATTGGTAATTTAAATAGGATAGTCATTTTTTTAAAAGATTCTATTTATTTGTCAGAGAGAAAGACAGCACAAACTGGGGGGAGCAGCAGGCAGAGAGAGAAGCAGACTCCCCGCTTGAGCAAGGCACCCATTTCGAGGCTCGATCTCTGTACCCTGGGATCATGACCTGAGCCAAAGGCAGATGATTAACAGACTGAGCCACCCAGGAGTCCCAGGATAGTTATTGTAAATAAAACCTCTCTCTTTAAAGATAACATTTAAGCAAAAACAGGAAGAAGGCTAGGAAAGTGACCAAAGGTGGTGTTATTTGGTGGAGGAGGGGTCCAGGAAGGAGCAAGCACAGGTGCACCGGCTCCAGAGGACAGGCAGACCAAGTGTGTCCTGGAATAGCCAGGACGTCAGCGCAGCTGGACGGGCAGCTGGAGAATAAGTCCCAATATTGTCTAAATCATTTTCCATGCAACATGTTCTTTCACGTGTCCTTTGTATAAATCATTCCTCTTATTTGAATAATAAATTATCCTTCCAGTTCTTTGAATTCTGAGCAGTGGTAAGCTAATGAGTTTTAGGAATCCGTATCTCGGTTCTTGTTTGTCTATGTTTTCCTAACATACTGAGAAAGCCTGTGTTTTCTGGAAGGCACAGTGAAGGGAACACTCATGAGGTTCAGCCACGTGGCCTTATTTTGACTTTACGCTCTTGGCCTAGAGGACTCATGAGGAAGTGCTCTTGGAGTCAAGGGAGGAGAAGAGGGTTCATGAAGTTAGGTAATATGTATTCATAATCTAATAACTAACTAGCACGACTCCAAATCATTCCTTCTGCTGCTGCTTCTTCTTTTTTTTTTAATCTTTTTGGTAAAGAAGAGTCATTTTCTCAGAGACCTACACAAATGATTTCAAGCTTTGATAATTTCAACAATCTGATTATTATCACAAAACATTTCTAATACCTGTACTATCACCTTAGTCAAATTCTAATTTGCCTGTTGGCTTTGTAAAGCATGTCACCTAAATGAGTTTCTAACAGAAGAACAATGCTCACATTCTTAGAATTATACTTTTATTTATTTTTAATTTTAATTTTAAATTTTTTCAGGTTTTTTTTTCAAGATATTATTTATTTATTTGACA